GGGGGGAGGGGAGGAGAGGAGAGAGAGGGAGGAAGGGAGAGAGGTGAGAGGAGAGAGCTTCTCTCCAGGCTCCAGGTCACATTAGCAAAGGAAAGAGTGGGAGACTGAAGGGTTTTTTCTTCCCTGTAACTAGAGCGAACACAAGTCATAGCAGCCTTCACTCAGTTTTACAACAGATACTCAAATGAGAAAACACAACGGGAAAGATGTGCTCAGCTGAACAGTCCCTGATGACCTTCCATCAAAATATGGCAGCTCTAAACTCTGGAAGCTTCAGCATTCTCCCAGGGGCTGCCACCCATCTGCAGGGGAGACTTGCCCCACTGTCCACGGTGCCTGCCCCAACACACAGGAGCACCCGATTTCCGTCCACCAGTCTCACTTTCCCTCCTGTCCACACCCAAACCCTCACCAAAGTCAGCAGGGTGAGGCGAGCAAAGAAGAAAGTCTTCAGGAAGACGGGGCCAACCACAGAACACCCAAGGTCTTGCGGAAGTCCAGTTGCCAGCTATGCACAGGGTGGGCAGGTGGAACCCTGAGGCCAGGGAACACAGGAAGATAAAAACATCTTCACCGTTTCCCCCCTGGGCCGCATTTCACTCCGTGAAAGGAACCAACTAAAACAACGTTTAATTTTTATATTAAAAAATAAGTCATTGATACATAAAAACTGGCCCCAAATCTTCTTTTACTTGTTACATAGGAAAGTCATTTTCCTCGTCTGAGTCGTTCACGGGTCTCTGTGGTCTGTTTGGGAGACGGGGTCCGCCTGGTCCACCTCCGGGGCGCGGGTGGAGATGCCTACCCGTGGCGGCAGGACGTCCGTCCGGCAGTCCATCCAGCCAGTCAGCGCGGCATGGTGGGCGGGCCCCACGGCTGCACCTTCGGTGACAGGAGCACTGGCAGGTGGCCCCGGCGGACTTTATGTGGAATAGACATTCGGGGTCGGCCTTTCGCAGAAATCAGTCCTCACCACCCGAACCCCAGGACGCGAGCGGGGAGCGCGGACGCCTCTCACTTCCACAAGGGATGGAGCCCCTTCCCCAGCGCCCCCCGACAGGCGTCCTTCAGCCGGAAGGAGGCCCTTTCCCCGGCCCCGCGGCCCTTCGGCGGGGCCTGGGCGCTGTCTCCGGGGCCCTCGGCTGACTCGGGCCCCTTCCGGGGGGCGCGGACGCTGCCGGCCCGCCGCAGGGCGCCGCTGTCCTTGGGGGCGGCGTCCTCGGGGCCACCCTTCACCTTCAGCTGCCGCTGCGACACGGTCCGGGTGAGGCCCGGGGATCTGGCCACAGGCGGGGAGTCGGTCCTCTGGCACCGAGACGAGGAGGCGACCGTGTTGCGGGCGAAGCTGGGGACCGGGGCCGGGCCGCGGGGCGCGCTGGGGGCCGGCGGGGCGCGGGGCGGCTCCTCGGGGCTGTCGGGGCCCTGGGAGCCGGAGCGGCAGATCTTGTTCTCTTCGGGCTTCTGCCGTGGAACATTGCGCAGGGGCTTGGCGCTGGGCTTCCTGAAGGAGCTCCTGGTTGGCGCTGGCGGCTCCCTCCCGGGCCGGACCGCCGTCGAAGACCTCCCGGGCGACGCGTTCGGGGTCCCCAGCACCGAGCTGCGGCGCGACAGCGGCGCCGGCGGGTTAGCGCCGACGGGGCCCTCGCGAGGGGCGCGCTTGCCGGGTGGGGGGGCGCGGCCGGCGCGCGAGATGGGCACGACCTTGCGCATGCTCTCGCTCTCCCAGCCCGTCAGCGTCCGCACCGGCCCCGCCGCTGCCGCGCCCCGCCGGGCAGGCCCAGCCCTGGACGCCCCCGTCGACGCCTCTTTGAGGGGGCTCCTCTTCGGGGCCATCACCTCCCTCCCTCTGGCCGGCCTGTCCTTGGGCAGGCCCCCCTTGCAGTCCGGCTCGCTCTTCCCTGAGAGGGAGCCGGCGGAGGCGGCAGTGGGAGCCTCCGCAGGTGGGTGGCACGCAAGGTTTGAGGAGACCTGGCTGCCGCCCGTCTCCCCAGCCCTAGAGGACACAGAGCCCTCCCCGTCGCCCCCCTCCCCCGGGTCCCCCCCTTCGGGTCTGGAGTCGGTTCCCTCCGAGCAGTCCAGGGTCAGCGAGCAGTCGGTGGTGTCCGAGATGTAGAACAGAGACCCAGGATCTTGGTTCTCGGGGTTGCTGCTGCCCTCAGATACTGGAGCCGCGCTGATGGGCTCATCCGGGGCAGCGCTGCCATCCCCCGCGGCCGGGCTGGGACCCCCCTGGGCACCTCTGCCCACGGGCGTCGGGCTGCCGTTGCTGGCGCCCAGGGACTGCGGGTTCTCATCCCCCACGGACGCCAGCTCCATTGGGCTGAAGTCATTTACGGTCAGCGGGGCCAGCTCCTCCGGGCCCTTGGCAGCCTGGAGGTCGAACTGGGCCAGACCCGTCACCAGCTCATGCTCCCTAATCCCTAGAGCCAACGGCGAAAGTGGAGGGGACCGCACGGAACCCAGGCCCACGGGCTCGCTGTTCCTCTTTCGGAGGATGCTGACCCCATTGCGCCGAACCCGGGGTAAGGCGGGGGCGGGTTCTTCAGGTCGGGGCGCCGGGAGCTGCCTCGGCCACGCGGAGGTGGGGTGGGGGGTTTCCTCCTGGCCCTCCGAGACTGGAGGTCTGTGTGCTGGGCTGGAGCCCTGGTACCTCTGTCCTCCAGGCTCCGTCCGGGCTCCGCTGGCCGGGGCCTGCCAGGGGCAGCTCCGGGGCAAGCTGTGGAACTTGAGCTCCTCGGGGCTGTCAGTGGAGCTCTCCAGGAAGGTCAGCAGCTCCCGGTCGGCCACGATGCTCAGGGAGAGGCGGGAGCGGCGGGTGTTGGGGGGCCGGTAGGAGAGGCTGATGGGCCTGGAGTGCAGGAAAGGCGGCAGGTCCTCCACGCCCCTCTTAGTCAACAGCTCCACGTCATTCTCACTGCTGCTCCGGCCGAATCCAAGCTCCCCAGCCGGCCAGAAATGCCGTTTCTGCTCCAGCTCCTTCAGCCGCTGCAGGCGCCTCAGCTCCTGCACCTCGCGGTCGTGGTTGTCCTGAAGGAGGGACGGAGAGAAGCCAGAAGATGCATGAGACACGTGGGACCCAAGTGCAATTCCAGAGACAGCTACCCTAAGACCCCACTGAGAGACACAGGCTAGAGGAGAGACCTGGGTCATTTGTTTCACCAAGGGAGACAGCCTGTGTTTGCACGTGAATGTGTGTTTGCAGTGCTTGTGTGCCCGGAGGGCTGGGGGCCTCTGTTCTCTGCAAACAACGTGGGCGTGGCCAGGCGTGCACACTAGGCCTGGCCCCAACCATCTGCCTAAAGTTGTCATCAGATCCCCTGGGCCCAACTTCCAGTCAAGGCATCGTGCCCTCAGTGCGGGCTGTGATTCCACACATGCCCGAGACCTCAACTCAGAGGAAACCCAACTTGGTTTCTAAGCAGGGCAGGAGAGAAAGGACTTCCAGGAAAGTGCTATTTAGGCAAGAGCAGAGAGAAAAATACAACGGGTGTTAAAAGAATCTGTGTTGCATGGAAACATCTACACACACACACACTCATGTGCACACATGCTACTTAACAGTGATTTGGATGCATAAATGTAGACTCAGGACATTAAGAGATGCCTTTCAATCTGTGTTCTCTGAATGCTCCCTGGTAAAGAAACACCAGAAATGCCACCGAGGCTCTGTCCCTTGTGCCCCACCCACTTCCCACAATCGGAGAGGAGGATTTGCTTTACAAATCTTTCTACCTTTCTCCCTGCTCCAAGGAGCCAGCCCTCCCGCCACAAACCGAACTGGAACAAATGCACACACCAAAGCACGCTTTACTGTCCTTAAATATACTCGTGTCACATAAACGTGCAGATGTCGCACCCAAATCTGCTATCATTGGCGCTTTTTACTTGAAAATCAATTTCCTCAGACAGTGGACTTTCCCTTCCAAGTTTCTGAGAGGCTCTGGCTCTGACCGGAAATTCTGGGCTCCTCCTGCAGCTCTGTCCTCGGGCTCCCCAAGGTCCCGGGTCTTCTCCTTTCAAGGCTGCCTGTGGGAGGGCATGGGGCCAGCTCCTGGCTCTCAGGACAGCGGGGCTGAGAGCATCATACAGGTGGCCTCATGGGCCTGGAGAATTCTGACTGGGAGCGAGGGCCTCGGAAAGAGCCAATTTGGCGGCTACCGCCCACCAGCGCCTCCGCCTGCTGACCTCACTGCTTGGACGGGGGAGAGGAGTCGTGGCCACAGGCTCAGCCTCCTCTTCACTGGACAGAGAAAGGCAGCTTGAGAACTCCAGCGACTCACTTAGGGCTGGGGAGATGTCTGAGCAAGCCCTCAGAGAAATGCAGCTAAGGACACATCTGTACTTAAAACACAGGGAAAGAGGTGACCCACGAGTACTTGGTTCCTTACCAGCACCTGAAATGATGGGATGTGATTTTGCTTTTAATTGACAGATGAAAGTTTTATTGGCAAAGCTAAGCAACCCGGGCTTCCCTGGTGGCGCAGTGGTTGAGAGTCCGCCTGCCGATGCAGGGGACACGGGTTCGTGCCCCGGTCTGGGAAGATCCCACATGCCGTGGAGCGGCTGGGCCCATGAGCCATGGCCGCTGAGCCTGCGTGTCCAGAGCCTGTGCTCCACAACGGGAGAGGCCACAGCAGTGAGAGGCCCACGTACCGCAAAAAAAAAAGAAAAGAAAAGTCAAGCAACCCAAAGAGTTTTGTGGCTTCTGCATGAACTCAGAGATTATTGGACCCGGAGGCTGAAGGGCAAGAAAGCAGCAGTCATGTTCAGACAGCAGCAGACTCCCTCACTATCAGGGCACTTTGAAGCCCACTCTGGCCGAGGACAGCCTGGTTCCCCAGATGCCAACCCCTGGCAATAGCTATGGAGCTTAAAACAGGGGAGTGAGGACCTTCCCATCATCCCGCTGCGACAAAGGTCCCCCTGAAAGAGGAAAGTGTCTCCTGGGAAGGGGGGAGGATCTTCAAAGAGGCGTCTTAATATCATGACTGCCATCCTAAAAAAACCTAACAAAATGCTTTTAGGGCATCAGAGCGAGCGTAGGAATGAGCAGCTAAGTAGCAAAGGCAGCCAAACGATAGACTCCTGCCAACAGGGAAAGGCTCGGGGCTGAGACGGCAGAGCCCTTCCCCGGAATCACAAGCGACAGCCGGGCAACACCGCCTGGGCCAGACCTTCCTGATGCCCCGGAGCTGCTGAAGCACCTTTCCACCACAGGCAGAGGAAAAAGAAAAATCCTGACAACTCAGAAAACACAGAGCCGTACCTTCACTGCTTTGTTGAATTTGACACAGAAGTCTCTGAATATCTGAAGGCACTCGTCCAGTTTCACGGTGTCTTTGTCTTCACAGAAGAAGTCGATGAGGGTGTGGGCCTCGTCCTGGAGCTTTTGCTTCCAGCGCTCCAGCTCTGCCAGCTTTCCCAGGGCAAACTGCGGGGAAGGGGACAAACAGCACACGCCGAGGTGAGCGCTCGGCCTGCTGCCTGGTGCCTGGGGTTCAGTTTCAGGTCTCACTGCACGTCCCTCAGAGCTGACAGGAGAGTCATTCACTCCAAACAACACCTTGGGGAAGCGAGGGGAACCCCTACGCAAGGCCTGAGAGCCACAGGAGACTGAAGAGCTTTAAGCTGGAGGATGCCACCGACCAAATGTTCCCCTGTAAAGTCACTGGACACATGGCACGGGAGTGCAGTTGGTGTTGTTAAGGAAAACCCTGCATCTGTCTGTATCTGTTCTTCCTTCTCTCATGACTGAGGCTTATACTGGGCCAAGGGTCTACTTCAGGGTCCCAAAAGTCACTTATATTGACCAGTTGTCTTATCCAGAGGTCTGCCCCATTGAGAGGAGTTTAAACGTACCCCCAAATGAGCTCTATCAGGGTCAGTGTCACCCCCGCAGGGACAAATGCCCAGCCAGGGCTTCTTATCCGAGTCAGCTCTGTCTATGGCCCACACTTGCACCCCTCACCCCCAAGCCATTCAGTAGATTTGGGGTGGACCTGCCATGACTTTATTAAAACTCCCAGGAGGTTTTGATGGGTACCCGTGGCTTGGAACTACTGCCCTATACAAATCAGTCCTCTTGGCCTCCTTGTTTTTTTCCTAATTCTTCTAGGACAACGTCTCCAAGGCCCATATAGACTCAAGTACTGCAGCAATGCGGTGCGGCCGAAGGTAGCCCGCTCTCCTCTGCTGAGCCCCAGCCCCTTCCGGATGGGGATCCCCAGGGCCAAAGGCACAAGCAAATGTCCCCGACGGCAGCTCAGTGACATCTCCTGTTGAGCTGAGGTGAGGAAGCAGCAGGTAGATGTAGCCCCGGGGAGACGGCATTTGGGGTCACGCTGAAGCCTGACGGTGCTTTCTCTTTCACTGGATAACAAGGCTTATATGAAGAAGGTATATTCCTTTACGAAATCACACTTCTATTTGAGAAAATTCTTGGGTGGAGGGCTGGGCGTGGGAAATAGTGAAGTTGCGGGCTGCCCACCTGGCGGATGGGCTCACTGCTTGAACGCTAAAGACAGTCTCAGGAGAAATTCCGAGAAGACGCATCCCCTCCCACCCACCCACACACTAACCCCCTTCAAAACCCTTTTCTTCCACTAAGCACATTCGAGAGGTAGCAGGAAACCAAAACTATTTAGGAAACCAAATGCCAGAGAAAGTAACCATCTGAGTCAGTAACCTGAGGCAGTGTGTGCGTTCACGCTGAATTTTTCTTCGAGGAGAGAAGGGTATTAATGGAAGGCCAAATCTTTGCCTGTCATTCTCACACAGGGTGAAAGGTGGATTCCAGCCAAGAACAGCTCAACTGCAGAAAAACAGGACTTTGACAAGAATCTTCATGGGAGCTTACTCCACCTGAGATGTCTCATCGCAGATCTTGTGGCGGACAGGGAGAGTGCCTGAGCGCTCGCAGTCCCCTTAGGACTCGGGAAAGTGAAACATTCCGAATAGGACCTGAAAAGCCACCACGCTCAGAGTTGTTTGCCAAGAGCTAGCTGCTGAACCCTTTCCTCATGGTTAAGGCCACAGATGAGAAAGTCCAAAGCAACACTGGCAAAGCATGAATGACAGATTGGCAGTTGTCGCAGCAATCTCAACTTTCCAGCTCAAACTTGTCTGCTGTGGACCAAAGTTCCACACCAGTACACTTGGTACCTCTCACCCAAAGGGTCGAAACACTGAAACAGATCTGCAAAACTATGTTCCTGTCATTTTTCTGCTCAAAAATGGTTCACCATAGCTTAGAGAGCAAAGTTTTCAGACTGGCATTCAGACCCCTTCGTGGCCGGACCATAACCTAACTTAAAAAGTTGTATTTTTCCGGGCTTCCCTGGCGGCGCAGTGGTTGGGAGTCCGCCTGCCAATGCAGGGGACACGGGTTTGTGCCCCGGTCCGGGAGGATCCTACATGCCGCAGAGCGGCTGGGCCCGTGAGCCATGGCTTCTGAGCCTGCGCGTCTGGAGCCTGTGCTCCGCAACGGGAGAGGCCACAACAGTGAGAGGCCCACGTACCGCAAAAAAAAAAAAAAAAATTAAAAAAAATTGTATTTCCCCCATTTAAAAAGAAAGTGAACTTAAAAAAGAAAAATAAATAGCTGTGTGGAACAGTTTACATAGAGAGAGAAAGATGACTACCAGGAGGACGAGTTTAGAGTGAAAACAAGGTTGCTTCTGAAGAACAGTCCGGGGGTGTGGATTTGCATCATAAGCCTTTCTGTGCTACTATTTAGCATAAGAGATTAACATTTAATATAAGAACTGAGAAATGAGACCTCCAGAATCCTTCTCCCAATGTGTGACAGGCCTTCCCCTTGAATTTCTGGATTTGTCCCATTTGTCTTTACTGCTGAGTGTTTTCCTAGCTAATGTTAGATGATTCCGTGGTGGTGTTTGCTTTGTTGTCTCACTTTGAGAAGAAAATCTGTGCACTTTTAAGGGAAAATTAGAGTTTAGTGACATATGAAAGAAAATACAGAACATGTGTTTAATAATAAAAACAAACTCCCAGCAGAGCCAAACAAAATCAAATGTTCACTGACGGGAGCTGCAGCTCACAGCATTTGATGTGACTTCGTTACAAGGAAGTGAGGGGAGGCTGAGGTTGGTCCAACCCTCAAAAGCACTGGTCCCTTTCCACCGCCCAGGGCAGCCCTGCCTCACTGATTCCAGCTCATGAGCCTCGAAGCCCTGACACTGAAGGCAGCACACCATTTCCCTGAAGACTGAAAGCATGAAAAGGCGCCACCATTTTTTTCTTTTTTACAAAATAAGGAAGATAAAAGAAGTATGTCAGACTGTGATTAGTGAGTCACAGTGAGCTGTCACAAACATGTTCTCTCTGCTGGGTTTTGTTGATGTTATTCCGAACAGCTCCTGCCACGCCCTGTGGGGCTGGTGCAGTTGGGGTGGTGAGAGGCACCGACTCTGGTGTGTTCTCCTGCCCTCCCTATAAAACATGCCAAAACGGAGCTTGTTTCTGCCACACAAACAACTGAAGGAACAACAGCCCAAGTGCTCAGGTGTCTTTAACGATCTCCGTGGAACTTCCTGCTGGTGTCCAGAAGTTCGAGTGGGAGACAGGAACTCCTGAGCCGTGCTTTAGAAGCAAAACCTTCTAAAGTTGCCAGACTGCTGCCAAGTGTAAGCATAAGGGATCCCAGTTCACTCGCAGGCGATGCCATCATGCAGACAGAGCAGAGACAAACAGAGACCCTGTCCCTAACCAAAGCCTCAGGGTTAGACCATATTCAATACCCTCTGCCACAAAACCAACCCAGCAGAGGCTGGGCACCGAAATACAAACTTCCTTTTACCGACTTGGGGGAAAAAAATATGCATGGGAACCTGCTGCTTCCACAAACAGCCCTGCAAAGGTAACCAGCCTTGAGGGGCTGCTGAAGATGAGATCAGGGGGACTGACTCGAATCATACACACACCTGAAGGAAATCTTCCATCTGCTGACAGAGCTCACCATCCCGCTGGACGTTCTCCTTTAGAGATCTTGTCCTGACAAAGAGCGAGTGCAGCTCTGCCTCTGTGTTATCCAGAGATAATCTGAAAGAAGAAAGGGGAGAGTGGGTACCTGGCACAGGAGGCCAGGTGTCACACAGGTACATCAAACAAGACCCTGGAAACAGAAGGGAGAGCTACCGTGATTGTCTACCGACCTCTGTATCTAGAGTTTCCTCCTATGTTTCCTTAAGAATCGATTCCTTCCTAAAGACACACACTGGTTCAAAGACCAGGCTGTAACTTTGTTCTTGCTGGTGAGATAGCCGAAAGCATGGGAATTGTGAAGCTTTTCAAAAACTAGGTCTGAACATCTTTATGCCATCAGCATTAGAATTCGGCAGGACTCAGATACTTAGACTTTCCTCTGGCCATGAAACGCAAATACAAAAGCTCTAACCCATGAAAAGCGAGGCAGAGCATGCTGATAAACAGGATATTAAGGGTGATACGGAGACACGACACAGACTGCATGTTGCTCGCCACAGGCAACCAGAGTCAGCACTCTGTGTCTTAGAGAGAACTGACACACAGCTAACAGTTCTGCGGAGAAATGGTGGAACTGATGGCAAGGCTTTTGTTACATATGTCACACTCAGATTAACAGAGCACGAATGATGTTTCTGTCGCCTGGTAAAGCGAATAGATGAAACCTAAATCCAGGTGGAATTCAATTAGCAAATTCATAAATCAAGATGCTTTCATGCTTCCATTGATCAATTCTAACTTTTTTGTTATGCAATAGTTTTCCACCTTCAGGGGCTTCCCTGGTGGTGCAGTGGTTAAGAATCCACCTGCCAACTCAGGGGACACGGGTTCGAGCCCTGGTCTGGGAAGATCCCACGTGCTGTAGAGCATCTAAGCCCATGCACCACAACTGCTGAGCCTGTGTTCTAGAGCCCGTGAGCCAAAACTACAGGGCCCACATGCCACAACTACTGAAGCCCGTGTGCCTACAGCTAGTGCTCCGCAACAAGAGAAGCCACCACTAGGAAAAGCCCATGCACCACAACCAAGAGTAGCCCCTGCTTGCCGCAACTAGAGGAAGCGCGCACACAGCAACTAAGACCCAACGCAGCCAAAGAGAAAATAAATAAATAAATTTATATAAAAAAAATAGGGCTTCCCTGGTGGCGCAGTGGTTGAGAGTCTGCCTGCTGATGCAGGGGACACGGGTTCGTGCCCCGGTCTGGAAAGATCCCACGTGCCGCGGAGTGGCTGGGCCCGTGAGCCATGGCCGCTGAGCCTGCGCGTCCGGAGCCTGTGCTCCACAATGGGAGAGGCCACAACAGTGAGAGGCCCGCGTACCACAAAAAAAAAAAGTTTTCCACCTTCACTGGTCACTGGCACCCACCTATGACCTGTTTGTACTTCACTTTCCATTTCAAATAAATAACCTTAGTAAATAAGTTTTTTCTAAGACAAGATCTAGCTAACTTCCCCCATCTAACTCTGACCAGAAATGGAACGGTTATTTCTCTATGTATCTCTTAGAAACATTTCCACACTAGGAAGTGGAAAAAATATTCCCACACAAATTTGTTAGTAATTCAGAAACCAAAACAGTTTGCATCTTTGAAAATGCTCATTCTTTGGGGAGAACACTCTGGTGATCTGTAAATACGAACTATGAACTGTTTACATCGTTGGACGGATAATCTCACTTTGGGAAAGACATGTCATCTGTGGTTGGATGTTTGCAGTCAGTAACACTGAGCTGCGGGCCAGTGGCAGGGTGGGGCTTAGAAAGCTGTGGTTCATGTGTTTATGCATACGGTTCACAGCTGTCCCAACTGGATAGGGTCCCTCAGATAACAAGCAGATGACATGCACTGGGTTGATACGTGAGGTGAGGGGCTGGAGCCAGCTCATGGGACGCAGCTGTGGCTGTGGGTATCTCTCCCCAGCTCCACAGTCAGTAGTGCCCCATGGGGAGCTTGAGATCAGCCATGGCAGCAGTATTTACGCCATGGAAATCAGCAGTTGCTACAAATCAGGACTTTTCTCCCTAAAAAGCTGGTCGTTGAACATTTACCACTGATGCATGCATATGTATTATAAATTTAAAAGCACAGGATTCAAAATAGCATGTATACACAGATTACAGCTATGTTAAAATACACATCTATATTAGGATCACAAGTGATCCTAAACAGTGATGTAAATACAGCTTTATGTTTGGTAGATACTTCCTCTGCAAAGTTGAGTGACTAAAACAAAATCCTTTCACAGCCCTTGGTATGGTTCCAACTTCTTTTAATGCAATAGAAAATAAACGTACCATGTTAGATTCTAAAGGAATCAGTGATGTATGGCCCTGGAAGCTTACCAACTCCCAAGGTAACAGGCTGTGTTCTTTGAGCCCTATCTTTTGGGTGTGGAGGTATCTGAAGTTCTTAATCCATATATATATATATATATATATTTTTTTTTTTACACTGATGAGATTCATTAGAATAGACTGCAATAGGAGTTTTTTAGATTAAAAATAAAGATTAATTTTTCAAAACCCCCAAATTCCAAATATGCACACATACCTCTGTAACCAAATGAAAGGAAGGTCTGAAAGTTCAACAAGACAAAACTTTTAAAATTTCAAACCTGAATCCAGAAGTTGTAAAATATTCATCAGTTTTCATCAGAAGGTAGTTAAAAAAAACAAAAAACCTTGTTCTCACAATCCTCTTCCTTGCTTACCTAGCAGCCTCCTGAACATGATGCAATTTTTCAGAAAAGTTTAGAAGCACGGCATCTTTCTTCTGGGCTTCCTGGAACAAAACCAGAATTTCCTCTCACTATATAGGGATAAAACTGGAATTTTGTCCACTATACGGAGAACATTTTTTCAGGGCTTACAGGAACCATAAAATCACTGTTCCCATTTTTAGGCTTGATACATTCAAAGCAATTCACTGAGTCATGAACTCTTAGTCTGATATTCTTAGTAAGACTGACCAGAACTCTCCTACTCTCAAGAAACATTTAACTTCCCAGAACAACTGATCCTGACATGAAACACGACTCATGTGCAAGAAGACTCAGTGGAAGGAGGCGGCGGCTTAGCAGGGCTCATGGTTCTTAAGAGAATCCAATATGTCCTGCTGAAATACCACCCATACCTACGCGTATGCCTCCACTTGACCGAGCTACTTGCCGCTCTTAGACCAGTTTGCAAACTGAGTTTAATCAGAAGGTGCACAGGCCATGGGGGTGTCTGGATCCTTCATCTGTTCAGAGGGTACAAAGAAGGCAGGTCTGAAGAGGGCAGTTACCACCTCAGGAAACTTCCCCACGTGGGCAGGGACCAAGCTACACAAAGCACCTGGGTATGGGGATCTAAAAGGGCAGCCAGGAGATGCTGCAAGCCACATGGGACGTGGAACACATTTTCTGGTTTCAATGCCCTGAAAATTGACACAAATTAGTGCCAGGTTCAATGTGCCCTCTGTCTTCTGAAGAATGCAGTCACAATAGTGTGTATTGTTTATGGAGAGCTTGCCATATTCGGAACACTGAGCTAATAAGCACGTTCTGGAATTATCTCCCTCCACCTTCTCAATTACCTAGTTTTGAGGTATCACAACCCCCCATCATTAGATGGAGAAATTGAGGAACTTAAGGCTTAAGTAACTTGTCTGAGGAAGTACAGCTAATAAAGGACAAGTCAAAGTCTCCCCGTTCGGGCTTCTCTGGTGGCGCACTGGTTGAGAGTCTGCCTGCCAATGCAGGGGACGTGGGTTCAGGCCCTGGTCCGGGAGGATCCCACATGCCGTGGAGCAACTGGGCCCGTGAGCCACAACTGATGAGCCTGCACTCTGGAGCCTGAGGGCCACGGCTGCTGAGCCCGCGTGCCATGACTGCTAAGGCCCACGCGCCTAAAGCCCGTGCTCCACGGCGAGAGGGGCCGCTGCCGTGGGAGGCCTGCACACGGCGGCGAGGAGTGGCCCCCACTCGCTGCAACTGGAGAGGGCCTGCGTGCAGCAGTGAAGACCCAACGCAGTCAAGGATGAAATGAATGGGGTAAATAGATTGAAAAAAAAAAATCTCTCCGTTCTATTCTGAAACTCATGCTTGAAACAAGGCTGCAACACAGCTTTCCTCCCAGGTGAAGCTATATCTATGTGATCGCTGTCAAAACAACAAGGAGATTCAACGGGAAAAACAAACCAGCACAATTCGCTATTTGAGATAATTTAACAACAAAGAGTGAACTGTCCTTGGCTCATCTCTGACTTTATAACTAGTTACTGGGTGTCACATAGACCCAGTCAAAAATGCAATTGATGGACAGGGTTCAGACCCCAAACCCTGTGTGAATGGCAAGGCCCTGTAACCCCCAGTTCACAAAGAAAATATGCAAGTGATCCCCTCGTTGCTCTGACTCTTCCACTCTTTACACACAACGGGTCAAAAATCTAGTCAGGTCAACTCAGAAATGTTTCAACACCCAGGGCCCTGCTCTCCATCCCTGTGGCCATTACTCTGATTCTCAACTCTCGCCAAACAATGAGCGCCAACCTCCACCAAGAGGTACCCCTATTTCTATTCTCTCTCCACTCTAACCCACCCTCCACGTTGCCTCATTTCCCTAGCAACAAAAACATACCTGGTCAGGCCATGGTGCTGTGTATAAACTTCTGTTGGCTCCCCATGGCTAAAGCATGAAGTCCAGATTCCCCAGCAACCACTCTGCCTCACCCCCGACCCCTCCACTTCCCTCCAGGCCTGTAACCCCAGGTGCAGCCCAACTCAGGAATCCGCAAATAGAACCTTCCTGGCACCTACGGTGCCCTTTCCTGACTCTGATGCCACCTTACACCTCTGAAAAACTTCACTGCCTTGGGGGCGGGGGTGGGTAACGTACATTCTCTGTCTGTATCAATCACTTCCACATACCTGTGCAACAAAGTGCAGGAGATTCATCCCAGGTTTATTTGCTTTTGTGTCTGCCAATTTGAGCAAAGAAGATAGTTTAAATCCTACTGCATTGCCAGCATACCCTCCCTAAAGAAGACAAATCAAAAGAAAAAATATACATACACATTTAGACAGACAAATAAAGTTGGAAATACAACATTAAAATTTGTTTTTGAACTTCACTTACTGCATTCATGATATTCCCTGCTTGCAGCACCAAGTGTAATATCGAATGTAGTTCCTCACATGACATCAGCTCTGTCAGAAAGAACACACCGCGGTACCTTAGAAAAGGCTTCAGCTTAAACACACACGAGACAGCTACCACATCCAAGTTCAAGTGTGTCTGAAGTAAGCTCTGACCCTAAACTGTATAAAAGACTGAAACAAACAAAGTAGCACACTGCACGGTATATCTAATGTACCCCTGGCTACTGGTGATGCACATCCTAGTGTTCAACTGGGAATCAAATATGTATGACACTTAAGTATCACACATACTTTGATAATGAAAATTTTCAAGGAGTGGAAAATACAAAAGCCTTAGGAAAAGCAGTACACTGTGTTACAGGAATAATCTCCTCTCAGCAGTTATTTCTTTATGGTTTCCTTTATATCCTTTGAGACTATATTTACGGACCATGAAAACGAATAGTGCGCAGCATTTTGCTTAGCTGCTGAGCTATGAGGAGATAAAAAATAAACAGGCTGGAATGACAGGTACATAACTTGCAAAGTTCCAACCCTTAGCGGCAGGTACCCAGAGAATCCTTCCATTTTATTCAAACCTCTACATTTCATTTGGATTGGCTTAAAGGTTTAACAAGGAACTTATCATTGTCATATATTGGTAAACTAGTTCGTTAAACACGAAGTCTTTTGTACACACACCTACGCAAATAAACAATATTAAAAATTGCTAATGTATCTGAAGAGCTAAAAAGAAAATTTAATTATTAAAATTACTGTATATATAGGTAATAAAATGTCACCTATGATATTGTTAAGTTAATATTCTCCATTAAGTCTGGTATTACTTTCAAAAAATTACACTTGGATCACTGCCTATACTGTGTTATCTAAGAAGGCCAGGTTTTGAAGAGTAACCAGATAAGAAACGTTTCTACCGTGCCCACAGATTTGCATCACTCAATATGAAACATATTTTCCCATCTCTACTTGAACAGGAGAGACAATTCTTTCAAAATTGCTGCTTTAGGCTTGACACAGGAAGAAATTTTAAAAGGCCTCTATATTGAAAGAGGAAAATTCTTAGTCTCTTCTCTAAAATGAAGAAAATATGATGAACTGAAGAGAAAAACTTAATACAAGTCAGAGCAACTAAACAAGAAAACCAAATTGGAATAAACATTCTACCACAATAACTAGGAACCCAGAAAGTGACCAGGAGGAAATCAGGCTGGAGATCCCAGCTGATGGATGCTGGGAACTGTGAGGGCCAGGGAGCACCAGAGACTTTGCCTTGGAGCCGGCATTCTCAGTGCCGTACATGCCAGAAAGCAAGCTCCCAACCCTATGGAATGAGACACTAGAGCAACCTGAGGAGGCTATCCAAGGGGCGAGCAAAAATTACCAAGTTGTTCACTCTCAAATGTAATGAGCCCACCAGGTGTTAGAGTCTGGAGGGGACGCGGGTGGGAGAAGACACCACTGGAGCAGAAACATCAGGAAAGCTGGTAGAAGAAGAACAGGAGATGCCTGGGGAGGAGTCAGGACGGAAGGAGGGATGCTTCCAGAAGAGCAGGGTCCCAGCCGCCAACAGAGGCCAGAGCGCTGGAGGAGACAGGCAGCTGGCCCCGGGGCCCAGGCTGTGAGCACGCCCCACCATGCACACACACACCAGACACACACAACTACACACACACCACATACACACTACACGCACACCACATACTACACACACCAGACACACAACTACACACAGCACACACACCACATACACACCACACACACCAGACACATAACTACACACACACCACATACTACACACACAGACACCCACATACTACACACACGCCAGACACATACAACACCCCACACACCACACACACACCACATACACACTACACGCACACCACATACTACACACACCCACATACTACACACACGCCAGACACATACAACTACACACACACCACATACTACACACAACTACACATGCACCACATACTGCACACACCTAACACACACCACATACACACAACTACACACACACCACATACACACACACAGCATACACTACACCCGCACCACATACTACACACACTACACACACACCACATACTACACACACAACTACACACACACCACACACACACTAAGGACATACCATACCCACACTACTATACAAAACACACACCATACACACACACCATACACACACTAAGGACATACCATACACACACTACTATACACACCACACACAAAACACATACCACACACACACCACACACATACACAGGAAGCTAATCTAGGAGAGGAACAAAAGCAAGCTGCAACCAACAAGGTTTACGCCTAAGCTTGGGATGAAAGCAACCTTCTTTTACAGGAGGAGAATATGCTAATTAATTGATTGATTGGTCAGTTAATTAATTAACCGGGGGAGGCAGAAAAGTAAATGGAAATAAACTTTAAATACCATCCCTGGTAACATCTCATTTCCCTTTCTAGAGCGTATCAGAAATGGAACTTTCCATATCTAATTTTTCAATTGAACAGTTTTTAAAAAATAAACTGCTACCAAAATTAATCAAATCAAATTACACAAAGCATCATGTATTTACTCACCTTTTGTAGCGGTTCTTAGAATGGTTATATCTGTGTATAGAGAAGAACAAGAGGGCAAAAATTCTTTCTTTAGCACCATGGCTTCAATCCGCAGTGAACAGCTGAAAGACAAAAGGTACAGCTACAGTGTAGAATTTGACGTTGTTGATTTTAAAACCTTACTCTGCAAAGAACAGTGATGGTGATCCTTACTTTGGCACCTGAATTAAGCAGTGCAGAAAGGAGTCTGCTAGGGACAGCTTGGCCACGTCTCCACTAAATGCCTTTAGTTTCTTTATCTAAAAGACAGATGGAAAAGGGGGTCAAGAAAAAAAGGACAAATGATTAAAATGGAACATCACTTTAAATTTCATCTTAGAATTCCTTTAGGAAAATAAGGATATCAGTGCTAAATTCAAATTAATAAAAATGTCAGCCTAAGAAAAGGGAATCATCACCGCTTACTACTTTGTTGTTTAAAAGAGCAAACGAGCAAATTAGGGAGAGGACAGCTGTGTCACTTATGTGGGCATAAACAATCCCACATGAACCAGAAAGCTGGAGCCACCGGAATCCTCAGAGAGGTTACTAAAGGGAAAGGATCAGTTCCAAGGATGAAAACGTTCTGTAAGTTATAATCTGGAAGGGAGACCACTGTTTGGAAGAAGAAAGAAGAAACTGGATAGTCACTATAGCAGAGCCTTTGAGTCATAAAGGAAAAAAATCTTATTATTTTGAGTATTTTGCATATAAGATACTTAGACTGGGGGAGGGTGTCTAACACAGATCTTCTTTCTGAGGTCAAGTCCTCCTTCACATCTAGTAGCTTTATAGGAAGGGATCACTGGATGTTGAGGTGAGTACACACTGGCTCTCCAGCAGGAAGATAAAGAGGAAAACGGCTTAAACAATTGAAAGATCAGTGCCAAGATTTCCCCCTGTGAAAAAAAATCGGGTAACATAAAGAGTGTGTACAGTGGATCCCACTTCTGTAAATTAAGAAAAGAAGTGTCTACTATGCCCCAACCCTCCACGCACACACTACAAACACAGGAACAAGACAAACCAGACGTCTACGCTAGGTGAGGCAATCACCACAGTCATTATCATTTTCATCTGCTGCTCATTTTTATTTCCTAAAATGTCCACAGTAAGCATGTACTACTCCTGTAAAAAGTTATACTAAAAGTTATTAAACACACAAATATTCCTTCAACTGTAGTAAAGAAAAAAACAAAAAGAGTTCCAACGTAGGAATATAGCCAAACAGCTAAGCAAGTAGGGATGCAGGCAAAGAGAAAGTTCTCAAACTGCATCAGAGAGCAAGGTATGCCTTCTCCTCAGAGAATACAGGACCAACCCAAAAAACACAACTCTGTCTACTGTAATGGAGAGTCTTCCAACAACAGCACTTTGTGGTCAGGAGCACCTTAAGACTGCTAGAGTTTGTAGTAAGCTATAAAAGAAAAGAATCTGAATATAAATAAATAAATACACACACACTACACTTCAATTTAAAAAAAAGACTTCTAGAGTAAAGCTGATAGCCTGTCTTTGAAGCTAACTGTTCCCAGTAAGCACTTACCACTTTGCTATGTTTTATAAAGCTTTCTCTCTTCCACCCCCTGGATTATGTTAGGTGCCCATAAAAATAACCTAATTTTTAAACCTCTTGAAAAATAGGAAATAGGGCTTCCCTAGTGGCGCAGTGGTTGAGAGTCTGCCTGCCGATGCAGGGGACACGGGTTCGTGCCCCGGTCTGGGAGGATCCCACGTGCCACGGAGCGGCTGGGCCCGTGAGCCATGGCCGCTGAGCCTGCGCGTCCGGAGCCTGTGCTCCGCAACAGGAGAGGCCACAGCAGTGAGAGGCCTGTGTACCGCAAAAAAAAAAAAAAAAAAGGAAATAACAGTTCAAAAACACAGAGGAGGGGTATTTGCAAAGATGCGCAAACTGAAATATCTGCATCAAAATGTAACAGTGCAGATGCACACCCCAGACACCCTGGTATTAAGTCTGGACCTTAAGACTACATTTTTCCCCACAGTGGGCAGAAAATAGCCATTTATAGAATTGCATTATTTCCCCTACCTTTAGTGCCCCAAATTGAATTTTCCATTTTCAACCTTAATAAATTTAAGGGCAGATGGAACTTCTGCATTAGCTAAACCCAAACTAGTGCCTAGTTTCTGAACTGGGAAAGCCACAGGATGAATTCTGGTCCCTCCTGAGCTACAGTCTAATGATTCACCATATATGGGCAGGGGCAAAGCGGGGCTGTGCCTTTATGTAAGACCACATATGTAGCACGGGCAAAACTTCTGAGAATCACAGCACGGTTTCCTGTCTGAAGCACAAGAACAGGTCATGCTAAGTACACTTGGTAGATATTTTCTATTAAACATGTGCTGAACTGTAAATGAACAATGATTCATCGCCTCCACTTACATAATGAGTGAAAAATGCTTATGGAGTTCAAGAGAATGCTGATACTAAAGATAGTATTTGATTGAAATGCCACGTATACAGTTCTTAATTCCATTTCAAAATGAGATTTATGTTCATTAAGAGGGATTACTGTGCCTTCACAGAGAGGAAGGTAAAAAAGAGGGTGGACAGACCCTAGAATTATTCTGCATTCTCATCATCGTCAAAAAGCATTTAGCAAACGTGGTTAGGCATCATTTTCTTGGCTGTGCCTGGTTTCTGCCCTAACAGCAAACAGCGCGCTCCTTGAGACTCACGCATTCCGAAGGGCAGGCCTCCTTCATCCCCTCTCATTCCACTCACATGGCCTTGAAACAGCAGGGTTTCCGACCAGCAGACCCACCCAACAGAAGACACTGGGGCTTCATCCTCCCAGGAACAGAGAGTAAACGAACAAGGTAAGAATGAGGGGATAAAAATATCAGGGGAGGCGACTCAACTTGCTGCCACAGACAGCAGTTCCACCTCCAGCCCTGCATCCCTGATGCTGACTGTGGCGGTAGGGTACCAGCGCCAACAGAGAGAAGGGCTCCTTCTCAAGCCGCCTCTCAGGGCCCAGACAGGGAGCATGCTTTTATTTCCGAGTCTACCTTCTCCCTCTGCGAGTTTTAATCATGAATTTGAGGCAAGACAAAAAACGTGCCAGATAAAAGTTTTGCAGTGAAGGGCAGAGAACGTCTGAAAACAAATTAACCTGGGGTTAGCCTGGCAGCTGGGCCGTTTCCGTTCATCAGTTCAGTGTGCTGACAAGTTGACATATTATGAGTGACACTCACACCAGTACTTCGTGAGAGCGGAGGTGACGCAAGGCCGGCCTGAAGTGAGGTGGGGTTTGGGAAACCTTTGCCCTTCCTTCCTCAGAGGGCGGTGGTGGAGTGCGGCCCAAGGAACTGCTCTGGGATCAGACAAACCAGGTCAAACCCACCGCCCTCGACAGCCCATTAGTCACGTGGCACTAGACAAGCTCTATCTAACCTGTGTGGGCCCCAGTTTTCTCATCTGTTAAATGACGAATAGCTTACAATGTCACTGTGAGGATTAAATGAAACACGCACACACACACGCGCACACACGCACACGCACACATACACACACACCCCATGGGTGTGATTTATTGACCTTCTGTGTGCCAGGCACTGGGCTGAGCACTCGATTGCCTCTGGCCCCGTCCGGGGCCTGGAACATGGGGCACTCGATCAACGTGTCGCCCATCCTCGTGCTAAGAATGAGCACAAGACGTTACCCCACAGACCTAGCAACGCACAGTGACGCACAGCGATGCGTTTATTAGCATTTTTCTGCCACATTCCTAACCCTCTCTCAGTTGGCCGTGCCTCCTCCTTGGCCTCTTCTCCATCCTCTGCCCTCTACCCAGGACTGCAGAGTAGGTCCTGCGTCCGAGTGGGGCTGGGCCGCCCAGCACTGCCAGTCTGTCCCTGCAGTGGCAGCGGTCAGGAGGTGGCTCCCTCCGCGGGTCTGGGGAGGGCGCCAAGCAGCCCTGAGGACTGTCAGGGCGCACCTGCTGAAGGAAGCTCCCAGGGGAGCCGAGGGTGTGCTGAGCCGGTAATGTAAACAAGCAGCAGTGTGACAGCTAGTCAGATACTCAGACCCCGGTCGCTCCCGTGACCCTGCAGGGGGAGGGGGAGGGCCTAGCCCAGCGGCTGGGAAGGCAGTGCAGGACCCCGGGCGTCTGGTCTCCGGGCTCAGCTAATCATCTGGGGGTGAGAGAGTGCCTCGGAGTCTCAGGGCAGCGCTGGGGTGGGTTTTAGTCATCACTCTCTTAACAGCCTCTTTCCTCTGAATTATATCCCACAGACAACGCAAGAAACAGGGTTCTTTAAAACATGTGAGGTTCGACAGCTAAGCTGCTTCTTTGAAAGATCGCTTCGTCTTCCACAGGCTTTGCATTTTTAAATTTTTTTAATTTAAGTTTTTAATCGCCTCTGATTGTTAAATTAGGAAGGCAGGTATTAAGGAAACCGCATTTAACCTTCTGCCTCTTCATGGTATGAAGCTGGCAGCCTCCCTCATGCCTAACTCCCACTTAGTTGGAAATTTAGAGCTCCGTTAGGACTAGGTATCAGAGCAGTCCTAAGGAGGAAGCATGAAAAATGCCCAAGCGGGGAGAAGATTTCCAGAGCAACTAAATCTTTTTGAAAACTCAATTCATTAAACACTATCCATCCTAATAAAAGGTCTTGAGTACACCCGAAACCAACACAATACTGTAAATCAACTACACTTCAATTTACAAAATACATTTTGGAATGCCCATTCTTCACATAAAAGATTAAGGAGTGTTCAGTCTACAGGATCCAGGGTAAATTTTGATCTAATGTACATTTCCCTCAACTCTTTAAGACGCTTTACTAACATTAACAAATGCCATTAATTAATCTTGGCTTTGGTAAATTATAATTGATTTGCGAACAGAAAACCCGAGGTGGAGAGAGCAGCTCAGAATACATAAATAGCCAGTTACCCCCGAAGACCCTCGGTTTGGCACTGTGAGTTTATCACTGATGGAAAAGAAAAAGCACAAATACATTTCTCTTGTTGTTATTAATGGCACTAAAGTCATGTTCCATAAATTATGTCTAGGAAGTGGAGAGAGATCGGGGAGGGAGGAGCCAGCAATATGTGTAAAAGGATAACTTACACTTTCTACTGTATAAGGCTCTGTATTATTTAAATGTGTACAAGCAAATGTATTCGTGTAACTTCTTACTGAAACTTTTAAAGGGTCACTTCTTCAGAAATAGACAATATCACAATTTTGGAAGGTTTTACAAAACTGTTTTTCTTTTTTATCCTATCAAGCCCCTAATCATTCATAAATTCAGTTAATTCACTCCAAAAAAAATCAATACTTTATTTATATTGTGGTACTATATTGCTATCATAGCAATCCCCACCTTTTAATCCATTATATAGACAGCATTTATTAACAATTTACCTATCTCTCCAGTTTTTAGAGCATCTTTATTCAAAAGTGTTTTTTTTTTCTTTTTTTTTTAAAAAAAAGTATATGTATTATGAAACAACCCCAGGTACACCCTAGGCAAAGATCATCCTTAGATGACAGAAAAGGGAACTAACATTTACTGAGCTCCCATGTGCCACGTACCATGTTAGATGCATAACTAGGGCTTAATCATCAACAGTCCAGTGAGGTAAGCATCATTATCCTCATTTTACAGGTGAGGAAACTAAAATTCACAGGACTTATGAAAACTTGCCCAACTTTCTCAATTACGGGACCAGTGCCAATTTAAGCCTAGGTTCTCCAACTTGCTAACCCATCCTCTTTCTACTGGGTAACTTTTAATTGTTAGGTGAGAAAACTCCGGCTCTGGGTAGGAGAGTGCCCTTCCCATGTGAGTTCTGACATTCCTAAAAATATTAAGCTTTTATTATCACTCCTAACATTTAAAACTCACACCCCAAATTCCTTACCTCCTCTGACTCTGGCAAAAGCTTAAGAAATTCACGTAATGTCTCTGATCCATAATGCTCACTCTTTCCTTGATGAATATCTTCCACAATGGACAGAGGAGACCTTGAAAAGACAATGATCAGATTCCCTTTCACATTGGCTGCAGTGCCAAAGAAACACAAGCCAGGGGACATGAAAACAAACCCCCTCCACCCTCCCTTCCATTCCACCTCCTTCCCAGTCTGATGGGTGGTTTTGTGTCAGCGATCCTAAGAGCCCCACTGCCAGGGAAAGCAGGGATCCTGATACACCAGAGGCCCCTTTCCCCAGAAAACCATCCTCGGGCATCCCAGAGAGGGCGAAGGTAGCAACAACCACTGGGAGTCTTCTCTGGGAGAAGAAGAGCAGTTCTGTGGGACTCCTGGAGCCAGAGCCCTCTCCTTTCCACTTGAGGACACATGAATTTAACAGTGTTTGACTCACCCATCCATCCTCCACTCATGGAGCCACACCTCAGGTGAATTTATAAATTCCCTGACATGTCAGGCATGGACAGATGCCCCAAGGTAATTCTGCCTGGACTCCAAGCCACCTGATTATGTTTTTATGGAGGAAAACAGCGGAAAGCGACACACACTTGGGGCCTCCTCAAGCCACGTGTCTAAAAACAATTTGAAAGTATGAGGGATGGCTTTCCCTCGTTAGAATCTGCGTTTTGGCTCACACCCACAGACTCTGATGCTGACGAGCAGGGATGTGACTAAAGTTTCAAATGTGTGCAAACATCTTACTTCTTAAACTGCTTTAGAAATATCCCAATGTTCATGCTCCGTTTTGCATCCAGGATAGTAATCTGGAAAAAAACAAAGACACGTAAGATCATTAAAGTATGAATAAGAAGAGTTGGAGGAAAGAAGAGAATTAAAACCTATCAAACTACAACACCAATTTCAATGTATAAGAGAGTAATTCCCAATATGTAAATCTGGTGATTAACTGATGCACCTAATATAGTTTTATGAATATCAAAATACTATTATCTCACCAAATTTACTTTCTGCAATATGTATTTCCTTAATGGTAATAATTACATATATCTGGGCTTCCCTGGTGGCGCAGTGGTTGAGAATCTGCCTGTTAATGCAGGAGACACGGGTTCGAGCCCTGGCCTGGGAAGATTCCACGTGCCGCGGAGCAACTAGGCCCGTGAGCCACAACTACTGAGCCTGCGCGTCTGGAGCCTGTGCTCCGCCACAAGAGAGGCCGCGATAGTGAGGGGCCCGTGCACCGCGATGAAGAGTGGCCCCAGCTTGCCGCCACTAGAGAAAGCCCTCGTCCAGAGACGACGACCCAACACAGCAAAAAATTAATTAATTAATTAAAAAAATAATAATTACATTATATCTTTTGGGGTTTTTTTTGGCAGCACCATGTGGCTTGCAGGATCTTAGTTCCCTGACCAGGGATCGAATCTGGGCCTACATCAGTGAAAACGCTGAGTCTTAACCACTGGCCCACAGGGAATTCCCATATAGATCTATTTTAATATTGTATAATTTAAAATAAATTATATTAACATTTTCTAAATTTTGCAATTTCCTCTTAGAATAGTAGAGCCCACATTTAAAAGCCCTAATTTGGAAATAGATGTCTTAGCATAGCAAGAATCATATGAAATTTGAACTCTGAAGCTATTGCAGAGTGAGTCCCAACCCTGAATCAGGGATGTAAAAGGACCAACACTGTTATTTTCAGAAACATAATAAAATTCTTAATATTTTTCTAAAGGAAAATTTTATTTTCATTGGGAAAGAATATGTATGTCCAGCAGCCCTTTTAGGAGGAGGTAAGAAAGCGTCCTACACTTTATTTACTCAGAATTTAAAAAGAAAAACTTTTGTGCTGTATTTTACCAAGTCTAAGATGCGTTGTTTTTGTTTTTTGGCATATGAATATCTCTGGAATCAGGATATGTCTTATAATATATGGATCATCTTTGATTTAATAAAATATGGTGGCCATTCTAATGGACCATCCAAACCCAGATTTTGGCTGCAATAGATTTAAGCTGTTCAGAATTACAGTAGTCTCCCCTTACCCACAGTTTCAGTCACCCTAGGTCAACAGAAATCTGAAAATATTAAATGCAAAATTCCAGAAATAAACAATTCGTAAGTTTTAAACTGTGTGCTGTTCTGAGCAGAGTAATGAAATCTGAAATCTCACGTCTCGCGACGTGAATCATCCCTTTGTCCAGCGTATCCTGCCCGTTAGTCACTTAGTAGCCACCTTGGTTATGGGGTTATTGTCACGGTACCACAGTGCTTGTTCTCAAGTGACCCTTATTTTACGCAGTAATGACCCCAAAGTGCAGGAGTAGTGATGATGGCAACTTAGATATGCCAAAAAGAGGCTGTAGAGAGCTTCCTTTAAGGGAAAAGGTGAAAGTTCTCAATAAGGAAAGAAAAAAACTTGTATGCCAAGGTTGCTAAGATCTACGGTAAGAACTAATCTTCCATCCATGAAATTGTGAAGAAGGAAAAAGAAATTCTTGCTAGTTTTGCTGTTGCACCTTGAACTGCAGAAGTTAGAGCCACAGTGCGAGATGAGTGCTTCGTTACAATGGACAAGGCATTAAATTTGTACAAGATATTTTGAGAGAGAGACCACATTCACGTAACTTTTATTATAGTACGTTGTTATTGATGAAATAAAAATTCGCATTCTAAGGCAAATCAAGGAAAATGTAAACATAAAAATTTTTCTCTGCCCTTTGGCCTCCTCTTTCCCCTCTACAGGCATTGCGTATCTGCCTTATGCATCGACCAAACCTCTCCATCAGCAGAAATACCTGCTCAACCATAAAGAGCAACATTCTCCTGGCATCAACAAGATAACTCCTTAGGAGATAACCTTCCTTCTTAATCTTGTAAGGGGCCACCATGACCTATGACCCACTATTCGCTTTGTACGGGTAGATCTGGACTGTGTAAACTGTCAATAATACGTCATTTAATGCACAGTCCTCTGTCTCAAAAATTTATACAACTGTGCTTTGACCTCTAATGGGCAGAACAGTTCTCAGAGCTTTCTGAGAGGCTCTCCCGGGTTATAATCCTCAATTTGGCTCAAATAAAATGTTCTGTCTTTCTTAGATCAGCTGATCCATTTTTGTTCGCTGACATTATTGTTGGTCTATTTTGTTATTCCTTATTGTTGTTAATCTCTTATGGTGCCTAACTGATAAATTAAACTTTATCATAGTTGCATATGTGTAGAAAAAACACAGTACAGATCTTCCTCGACTTATGTCCAGATAAACCCACCATAAATTGAAAATACTGAAAAATGCATTTAATACACCTAATCTACCGAACATCACAGCTTAGCCCAGCCTACTTTAAACGTGTTCAGAACCTTTACATTAGCCTACAGTTAGGCAAAATCATCTAACACAAAGCCTATTTTATAATGAAGTGTGGAACATCTCATGTAATTAATGGGATACTGTACTGAAAGTGGAAAACAGAATGTCTGTCAGTGTATCGATTGTTTGCCCTTGTGATCGCATGGCTGATGGGAGCTGCTGCACCACCATTGCCCCAGCATCACAAGAGGGGCTGTACCGCAAATGGCTAGTGGGGAAAGATCAAAACTCAAAATTCCAAGAACGGCTTCTACTGTATGCCTATTGCTCTCACACCATCATAAAGGAGAAAAATCTTAAGTTGAACCATCATGGGACCATCTGTGTATATAGGGTTTGGTACTATCCACGGTTTCAGGCATCCTCTGGGGGTCCTGGAACGTATCCCCCGCAGATAAGGGAGAACTACTGTAATAATTTGGAAGGGTTTTATCAGACTAAAATTTAGACAGAATCTTTTTTCAGGGGGTGGGTATTGTTAAATACAGAAGCCATTTCTTTGGAAGTAAATATCCAGGATACATGGAAGAAAGATAACCTTAAAAGTCCGCAATTTTCCCCATTTGTTTTTTGGAAAAGGGAGATGAGCGAAATAGGAATTTGTTATAAGGCTCTTTCTTTCCAAAAGTATGTGATACACTATGAACAAAAAAGAATCAGGTTTCAGATTAAATTCCTGATCGCCGGGCCTGCTTCTAAGTTTATAAGAGGCAACAAGTCTGTTAACCAAAGTTAATGGGACTTCCTGGCTAGAAGGTTAAAGTTTTACAAGAGTGTGGTTGCCTTCTTTTGAAGACTAATCTTAAACAATCACATTATTTACTGTCCTAGGGGTTTATTTCATGTTAACACAATCACCTGCCAGCCATAAACTAAACTCCCAAGCTAAAAGGACAGGCTCCTTGTTGGAATCCTACCCACGGATTACAGTTCAAGTTCAGTGTAAAGGGAGGGGAGAGGAGAGGGGAAAGAAAGGGTGAGAATAAAACCTGTCAAACTTAACATCCTTTAAGAGGAAAGCTTTTACCAAAGAGAGGAATCTAAATTTAAGACAGAAACTATGTGCTTATTATAATTCACAAATTACAAACTAGGAGCATGTGCATTGACCTGGCTATATATATACATATATCCGAAGAGCTTTCTCTGCACTCACTCCTTTTTTTTTTTTTTGCGATACGCGGGCCCCTCACTGTTGTGGCCTCTCCCATTGCGGAGCACAGGCTCCGGACGCGCAGGCTCAGCGGCCACGGCTCACAGGCCCAGCCGCTTCGTGGCACGTGGGATCTTCCCGGACCGGGGCACGAACCCGTGTCCCCTGCATCGGCAGGCGGACTCTCAACCACTGCGCCACCAGGGAAGCCCTGCACTCACTTCTATCCAGAATGGGGGAAAAACTTTTTATATTTTTTCATTAAATTACCACCTCCTGCTACATTTAACCATTGACAGCAGCACCCTCTCCGCCTCCACACCCAAGCCCCACCCTCATCCTCTTCACCCCTCAACCCTCTGGGACTCTATCCTCAGCCTAGATCCATAGCTATTATTGCTGGAAAAGTGGTGGAGAAATTACTATTATTGTTCCTATTTGACAGATAAGGAAACTGAGCCTCAGAGATGTCATTTTATACCTTCCCCAAAGCAATACTGAACTGAAATGCCCCAGGGTCTCTCTGGTTCCTGTTCACTCTAGTTCCTGTGACTTTCAATATTGCTGCAGATATAGGAGAACAGAGAAGTAGGGAAGGTTCCCCACCAGCCCAGTATACACATTGGGATGCTTCTCTGGGAATGGGGGCAGACCTGCAGAGAGCCATCCACGGGGCCTGGCCAAGGCCCCTGGTGACCCCAGAGTTGTATCTGTGGGACGAAGGCCAGGACTCACGTTCTCACCAGCTGAGACGGCCGCCGGGAGTGGAGCTCAGGCAGGGAGCGGAGCTCAGGCCGCGGGGAGCACAGGGGGCCACGCCTGGGGCAGCAGCTGTGTCACCAGCGAGGAAACTGGTCACTAATTTAAGGGAATCCAGCAATACTCCTAAGGGAAAACCTGGGCTGGCCATCGCTGAGCAGCGTAAGGGGGAAAACAAAGCCCAGCGCCTCCTCCAAACCACAGGAAAATGAGACAGTTGATAAGGGCAGGGACAGTGCCCTTCTCTCCGGGCATCCTCAGCTCTGCCCAGTGCACGGGCCGTCTCCTCTCAGAGGGCATCACACTCAGCCCTCTAAAGCGGTGTTATTACACAGTCCTTTAAAGAGGGTTATCACTACATGTGTAAATTAGCTTATCTTACTTCCCAAAGGCTGGCCGGCAGTTCAGACGCCCAAGCGTGTGCAGCTAGAGGTGCTTTTGAGTCACTCCCAGGAGCGCACTCCTCGCGGACTGCATAGGTGGAGACAAACAACCCTGGGAACAGGGGTGAACT